ATGATTAATCACATTTCAGTTCCGTATCCTGTCTTAATCACATCCTCCCTTTGTGAAATTACATCCTCCCTTTGTGAATTACATCCTTCCTTTGTAACAAATCCCTCCCTAAAAAAGAGAATGAAAGACTGAGGTAGAGTTAGATCTGTGTGCAATGCTAGGCAATATGTTTGCAGATCTGCCTACCTGCCAGCTTGCATCATATCTGTATGTCTGTCTTTTTTGTATATATCTCATCTCTCTCTTTCTCTATCCCTTTCGCCACCAGATCTCCCTTCTTCGTGACACCCACACTTCCTTGTCGATGCTGGAACCCGACATAGGACCTCAACTCCTATCCAGAAGCAGCAACACCAGTGATGGAGGAAGAGATGCAGACATGGAGAGATAAAGCAGCTGAGGACTCTAGACTCATGGAAAGAGAAAGGCTGTGTGCTGGCAGCTAGAAGGCAGGCTTTCAGAATGTGCCCTTTGGTTGTTTAAATGATTACATATTCCTGAGTGTTTTTATGTACATCCCCAAAACAACAACAACACAAGGGGAAAAGAAGCAAATACTGTTGAATGATGATGCACAGAAGAGACTGTATTCATTGCAGTGAAAATGAGTGTAAAACTGATGTTCTCCCATGTAAACTATCATTCAATTCACAATAAAAACTTAAAAAAAAAAAAAAACTAACCCAACAACAGCAAGATCATCTCACACCAGCATTAATAGCAAATTAAAAACAAAACAAAACAGAAAACAACAAATGCTGGTGAGGCTGTGGAGAGATCGGGATCCTCTTTCATTGCTAGTGGGACTGAAAAATGAATCAACCACCATGGCAAACAGTATGGCACGTCCTCAAAAATTTGGAGATAGAAATACCATATGGCCCTGCAATATCTTTACTTCATACATATTCACATGACATAAGAGCCAGGACACGAGAAGATATATGCACACCGATGTTCATCATAGCACTATTCACAACAGCAAAAAGATGGAGACAGCCTAAGTGTCCATCAAAGGAAGAATGGATAAACAACTTTGGCACAAAGACACAATGGAATACAACTTTGAAGAATAACAATGAATCTGCAAAACACATCAATAACATGGATGGACCTGGAGGGCATTATGCTGAATGAAATTAGTCAATTGAAAAAGGAGACATAGTATATGTATTTGTAAAAACTATTGTAGACCCTACCCAGAGAAACAGAGATGCCTGAGATGGAGACAGAGACGATGACGTGGAGTAATGAAGCGGCTGGGGACTTTGGACCCAGAGAGGGAAAGGGACTGTGGGCGAAAACAGGGGGGTGGGGGAAGAGGGGGAAGTGCAGGGGGCGGGCTTCTAGGAAATACCCTTTGGTTGGTTGATGATGCATGGAGGGGATTGGAACCATGGCAATGAGATGATATACGATGGAATGAATGTAAAACTAAAGTTCTCTCATGTAAACTACCATATAAGCCACAATAAAACATTAAAAAAAAAAAAACTATTATAAAAACTCAAGGAAAGCTTTTCATACAAAAAGGAACATTCTTTGATGGTTACCAGGGGTGAGAGGGAAGGGAGAGTAATTCACTGCCTAGAGGGTAGACACGTGTTAACTTGGGTAATAGGCGCAGGAATTATATAAGAAGAGGGAGTCTGGAAGAAGAATGATGAAGACAGGTGAACACACAGGGGGGCATGCAAGGGCTAAAGGGGCTAGAGGTAAATAGTGATATATATCCAACCTTGGAACTACAGTGTTCTATGGGTAGATACAAGGACATACACAGGCTGAATGGGTATGGGAGGAATAGTGGAATATATGTAGACAGAAAAGACTATATTTGTGGGATATATAAAAGATATATAAATATGCATATATTTATGAGTTTAAAAAAAAAAAAAAAAGCAGTTTCTTTAGTTTTTTTCTAAGTTATATTTGAAGATATTTCAGTTCCCCTTATAGATGGGTGTCCTAAAGAGATGCTTGGCTGGCCCTCTCATCATTTGTACACTATTTTCAACCTTGTGTTATTATTTTTGTATTGGTCTTATCTTTCCTATAAAACTGTAAGTTCCTGGACAAGAAAAAAAGGAAAGAAAATTACCAACTCACCAACTTCAGTGCCTTTACCCAGAGTAAATGTAATTCCGTATCCCTTGAGTCCATCTTCTGCATCAGTTTCTATTATGACATAGGCAGCTGAGTAGTCAGGATCTGTGTGCTGCAGGAAAAATGCACCCCACCCCCAAATAATACAAACATGAGAAATAAAAAAACATGAGTATGACATCACATAAGATTAAAAAATGCAACAGAGACTGTATGAAAAGTGCAATCTAACTAAACCAATGATGTATCCTAAACAAAACACAGAAGCGTTAAACGGACAACCAGAGCGTTTTCCTGATGGAGTGAAATTATTTTTACAGTATAATGTACACATTTTTCATGCCAGGTTATGATTACGTCTTCTTTGGTTTTCAGCTCAATTTTAAACACAGAACAGCTATCTCAGGGGCAGAGCAACATTCATAAGCAGCTCAAAATCAAACCAACCAAGGTTTCAGGAAGCTTCTGTCTAACACTAGACTGATCCTCATGGCAGTAGTTTGTAACAGAGCTTAACATATAAGGACACAAGTTCAGAAGCGATGAATGGGAGAAAATGAAGACATCTCTGAGACAAAATACAAAAAAGAACCCATTTTATTTTGTTTTAACTTTTCTTATTGAACAGTATTTTTATAACAAGCACTGATTATGAACCAGGTAAGAAAAAGCTAAGATAGTGCAAGGCTACACACTGAAGTACTGTTGTTGGTAAGTGCCACAGGGTAGGTTTGGACTCATAGTGATCCTGTATAGGGTTTCCGAGGAGCAGCTTGTGGATTTGAACCAACAACCTTGCTGTTAGCAGTCCAGTGTTTATCCTATTGCTGTTATTGTTAAGTGCTGTAATTTCCAACTCATAGCGACCCTAATAGGGTTCCTGAGGAGCAACTGGTGCATTTGAACCGCCAACCTTACAGTTCAAACCAACCTTGCGGTCTAGTGTTTATCCTACAGCATCACAATAGGTTAAGTGCTGGTGGGTTTTAACTGCTGACTTTGTGGTTCACTGTCCAACAATCATAGATTATAAATGCTACAGAAGTTCAAGGGAGAATAGCATAGAGGAAGTAGAATTTGAAGGAGTTCCACAGGGGACAAAGACCGTTCAGATGGGCTGGGGAAAGAAGTTGAGAAAACTACCCAGACAAGGGTGGTGGTGGTTATGTGCCGTGGAGAACACATAAAACTCAGAGATCTCTGTGGGACAGAGAAGCAAAGGGTCCATGAGGGTACTGACTTGAAAGTGAATAGACAAGATTGGATAGGGGTGTGGAGGCAGACAATGCACACGCCACAAGCAAAGACAGAAGGTCTGAATATAAGTGTGTGACAACTTATTACTAGCATTACTTCTATACAATCTTTATTGTGTTGGACGCAATTCTAAAAGCTTAAATGATTTCATTGAATCCTTACAATATATAGCAATCTTACAGATGAGGAAATGGAGTTATTGTTGTTTTTTTATTACTGTAAATTGAATGAAGGTTTACAGAGCAGATCATCAGTTTTATATACAGAAAATCATACATTTCAGTTCATCTCGACTGCAGTCCCCTCAGTGCAACCCACTTCCTCCCTGTGTTTCTTGTTTCCATCCCTCCTCCTTTCCTCACTGTTCTGAATTCTGTCCTTTGGTAAATGGACAAGTTTGATCTCAAATTGTTGACCATTATATGGGGTGCATACCTCACTAGTATTGTTGTCCCCCTATATTCCTATCTATTGCTTGGCTGAAGATTGAATCACAGAATTATGTCCAGTTCCTACTCTGAAGGATAACCAAAGGCCATAATCTCAACTTCCATCAGTCTCTACGAGAGTAAACCTGGTCTTCCTGAGGATTTTCAGTTTTGTTCCATGTTTTCCTCCACTCTAATCAGGACCTTCTAATGTGACCTCGTCCAGAGCAGTTGGCAGTGGTAGTCGGGCACCATCTAGTTCTTCTGGTGTCAGCATTGTGAAGACTGATGTTCATGCAATCTAACTGAACTAATTGGAGGAAAATGAGTTTTAAATTTTAACAACTTGTTCAAGACAAAAAGACTTGTAAAAGTTTTGGAAGCAGAATTTAAATCCTTCTGTTCGGAGAGGTGGAGTCCTGGTGTGGCACTGTAGGACAAGCTGCTAACCACAAGGTTGGTGGTTTAAACCCACCAGTCTCCTTGGAAACCCTATGTAAGGTTGCTATGAGTCAGAACTGAATCAAAGGTGAAAGGACTCAGCCGCAGTGTTTAAACTCTTCTAAGACCCCAGCCTGTTTTATTGAGCTTGTTTTGCAGGAATGCAGAACAGCTAGCCCCAATGATAAGTAACTCTCTAGGGTGTCACTGAGCTTATTTTTCAGGAATGGAGAACAGAAGGCCCCACTGATGAGTGAGACCTCCCAGTGGCCAAGCAATGGACAATATCTTTAATCACCTCCCACTACCCTATCATAGCAGCCCAGACGAAGTTATCACGTGTTGTTGTTAAGTACCGTGGAGTGGTTCCGACCTATAGTGACCCTGCAGAGGGTTTCTGAGGCTGTAAAATCTTTACAGGAGCAGAAATCCTCATATTTCTCCTGTGGAATGGCTGGTAGTTTCGAACTGCTGACCTGAGGTTAGCAGCCCGATTCATAACCACTACACTACCAGAGCTCCTTATGTTGTAAATCTAGCTCCCCTTCCACCTATCTGCAACACCTCCTTTGCCTTCCCTCCTAAAAAAAACAATAAAACCCCAAATACCAGATCCTCAGGATGGCACTGCTTTCTAGTGTTAGGATCCTTTCTTCCCATGGAAAGTGAATAAACATTCTCTATTTGAACCTCCATAACTGGTGAATTCTTTCACACTCTGTGACTCCAGCCCAACCTAACAAACAGCACTTGACAACAACATACAGGGAGCTAGATGTATCAGACTGGACGGGAATGCTTGAATCTGGTGTCAAACCTCAGTGGAGGGAATTCAACGTAAAGCAAGCACCAGTGGTGTGTCCAAGATGGTGCAGGTTTCTGAGGCAAGTACAGAAGAAATTAGTGTAGAAGACATAGTTATAAAAACTACTAACATGAGAGTAAGTTAAAAAAATATTGATGCAAAATCACTGCTGTTGCTGTTTTTGCTGTTAAGTGCCATCAAGTCGGTTCCAACTCATAGCAACCCTGTATAGAATTTCTGAGGAGCAGCTGGTGGATCTGAACCACCAACCTTGCGACTCAAACCAACTTTGCAGTTCAGTTCAGTGCTTTATCTTACAGCACTACACCAGGACTCGCACCAAGTCAGTTTTGACTCATAGAAACCCTACAAACGAAAGAAGCACAGCCTGGTCTTGCATTAGCTTCACAATAGTTACTATGTTTGAGCTCATGTTTCACTGAGAGAGGGTCATCTTCTTTCCCGCTGACCCTCTACCAAGCATAAATGTCCTTCTCCAGGGACTGGTTCCTCCTGATAACATGTCCAAAATAAGTAAGTAAGTCTTGCCATCCTTGCTCCTAAAGAGTATTCTGTCATACTTCAGATTTGTTTGTTCTTTTGGCAGTCCACAATACTTTCAATATTCTTCCCCAACACCATCCTTGGATTGCCAAAGTTCTTCTCTCATCTTCCTTATTCCGTGTCCATCTTTCACATGCAAATGAGCAACTGAAAAGAAGTCTGAAGGGGCAAGATCAGGGCTGTTGGGTAAATGGGAAAATATGTCCCAACAAAATCAGATGGTTCTGGCTACTCTCAAAAAATGAGCATGCAAAGGAGGGAACAAATCTTTACAGTGAGAATCATTCCCACCCTCTCAGTACACAGGGTCGACAAGGATGGGTAACTTAGACATTGGCTACCCAAGTAGGGGGACTACAAAGGCAAGAAGTGACTGGCTTACAAGCTTTCAAGAGGAAACCTAGTTCCAGAGAGTGCAGGGAAAGTATAGAATCTCCAGAGTGGTTTCCAATGATGAAAGGGGATAAGACTCTTGTGGTTCAATAGTGAATAATTGCTATCAGGACTGACTTTGAGTGTTGGAAATGTAAATGTAGACGTTTTGTAACATAAGACGGGAGTGCTTGATTTTGCAGTCCAGGAGCAAGGTCCCGTGGACCATCAAGGGAGAAAAGCAGAATACAGAACCCTATCCAGAGATGCAGTGATGCCAGAGATGGAGGCAGAGACAATGATGTGGAGAGATGGAGCTGCTGGGGACTGTAGACTCAGGGAGGGTCTGTGTGTTGATGGCCGGGGCTGGGGCAGGCTTGTGGGGTGTACCCTTTGGGTGTTTGATGATGCATTCAGGGGACTGTAATCATTGCAATGAAATGAAATAAGATAGGATGAATGTAAAGCTAATGTTCTCCCATGTAAACTATCACATAATTCAGAATAAAAACTTAAAAAAATAAAAATAAAAATGAGCAAGTACATTGGATGAAAAAATTCCTCTGAGCAACTTTCCTGGCCTTTTTCTCATCTATGAAGTCTTCAATTTTCTTAAAACTTCACAAAAAGCCTCTGTGATGGTCCTGTGTCCTTCGAGACAATCTATCAAGATTACCCCGTTGGAACAAACACACACACACACAAAATGACACAAAAAAGTCACCATCACATTCTAAGCCACTATTTTGATTGAATCACATTGGTAAATCCCAAACTCCTCCTTGGTTATTATCTGTTCCAAAAAATCTTCAATTTTGCTTTAAAAAGACTGATGGAGAGATCAGGATTTTGAGCCAGCAATCTTTACACAGCATTTTTGTCACCCAGCAATCTAATTCCTTTAAAATTGGAAATGCCAAACCACGTGAGATCCCAACTTCAGTAACTAGTACATCAGTGGTAATTCTATGATCTTCTTCCACCAGTTTCTAGACTTCAGTTAGTTTCTTCATTCTTCTAGGTCAGGGGTGGGGAACTTTTTCTGCCAAAATTTATAACATCATTCATGGGCCATACAAAAGTATCAACTTAAAAAGTAGCCTGCATCACGTGGAACCTCAGCAACCTAAGACAGAGCCATTGACATGCTGCAGTGAGTTTCGATGACAGGTAAGACGGGGGAATTCGCACTGACCGTCTAAGACAGGCAGCGTCCTGTAAACAAGTAATAAATAAAGGGGAATC